AAATTTACAACTATACAATAAGGATTTCTAAGATCCTACTTATTGTAATTATTTCTAAGATCCTACTTATTGTAATCAAATGAGATGGAAATTGTGCTTGGTTGAATTTATAAAGCAAATAAACATCTTATTTGGGGACAATGCACATCTTATTTGGTGTAATAATTAAATTATGTTTATTTATAAAGCTAGCAATCAAATACTTATGTAGTGATAACATTTAAGTATTAGAAAGCACTAAGGAACTATACAAAGAGTAATAATACTACAATTTATATATTTCATTTCCATTAAATTCTTCATATTTAGAAGGAATTTATGTTTTTTTTATTATTTTAGCATGATATAAAATATGCAAGAAAAAAAAATTGAATTATTATTGTAGGGTCCAAATTTGTCATTGGATGATATCCAACCCTATTAGGAAGTATGCATGAGAGAAAATAATCATAGAGCTTATGACAAGTATAGAAATAAGGAAGAAGATTTTTGAAGCATTAAGAGAATACTAAGAATTAAATGCTCCAGTACTATAATAAAGCTTCATAGGTGTTCCAAAAAATTCAAAATTTATCTTTTCACCATTTATTTATATGGATCTAAAGGCTACATGGAATGTTATATAAAAATATAAAAAATACGATAATAAATGTGACCTAACATAGACTGCTATAGACAAGTGTAACAATTTGATAAATGCTTAACAAGATTATACTTCTAGGCCAAAATTTTAACTTAAGGGTTAGTTCCCTTATGTCGAATTTTCATTGGAAAGTAGATGGAGAGACCACAAATGGGTCGAGCTGAAAGGACTAATGCTCATGAGTCCTTCGGGTACACTAGGAAGCTCTTGGGCCAATCCGGTGTGAAGGATGAGTTAATGAAGAAGTGTGACGTTTGCTAACTTCATGGCTAGCCAAGCAAGAGGAAGAGCATTTACATCTTCCTTGGGGTGAACCATGTGGCTTGAATGATGAATTCCATTGGTCGATGAAGAAGTGAAATAATTGCGAGTTTCTTTGGGAGGATGACTTTGTTGACCTTGATTTTGCCCAAACCCTTGGTCAAAGGGTCGACTTGGTCAAATTGACCAAGCCAGACCCCAAGACCCTCTCCAATGGGTTCAGTGAGTCGAGTCGAGTCTGTTGAGCCTGGACTTGGACCCTGGGTCGACTTGGTTGACCCTTCTTAGGTCTACAGACTTCCATAAATTAGATAAGTTCATCACCTCTAAGGATTCCTATGTGAACCCTTGAAAATGCCCCTTATAGGTGATGTTCTGATGTTGCTTTATGGAGTTGGGTCAAATCCTTAAGCTTTTAGATATCTTTGGTTGAGAGATGATGTAGTGGATCGTCGGAAGACTCGACCTGCAAGAAGGATTTTGATCCCAATCTAGGGAAGAAGAAGAACACAAGCTCTAAGGCTTCAAAGAGTATAATATTTCATTCAATGAGTTCAATCTTTTACATTACCCAACTACTTAAAGAGTAAAATATAACTATCTAGAGCATGAAAGGTAAACTAGTCCTTAAGCATAATAAAAGCTAAGATGTTCCTACATCATTCTCCCCTTGTGTCAAAAAAAGCTCTACTCCATCGAGACGCGTTATTGGAAGGGAGGTAGTTGCAGAAAATTAGATTCTTGGATCAAAAAATTTGTTCTCTATATTTCTCTCCTTTGGAGTGGTCTTTTGGAAGTCCACAAAACTTTTTAATAATATCATGTTGGAAGAAGCAAGATCAGCACTTCCTCCAATGAAATCTGGGAGGGCAGACGCAAGGGCATTAAGGTATTGACCAAACTCATTCCCCATAATCTTGAGATATCCTTCTCCACCTAATCCCATAGTTACTAGCCTTATCATTTTGTGTAAAGCTATTCCCTGATCTGTACGAGGTGGCAGGGTCTATCCAGAGCCATAAAGTTGAACATATCCTTATCCATCAACTAGAATGCAATTGTCTTGTTACCAACAAGAGCTTGATCATGGCTTTTAGTATACGCAATACATTTCTCTAACCATCTCATATTTTTAAGCGTGTGCACAATATCTCCCATCCTCCACTTCTCATCTTGTAATTTAAGAATTTCGATCCATTTATCAGGAACTGCCATTTGAAGACATTAATCAAAACTAATGCCACCATCTTCAACAGGGATGTAGAATGTTGGCATTCCACTGGAATCTTCACCCATGCTAATAGCCTCGGGGTACGTACAATCCATGACTAACATCATTCATTAGCATCAAATAAACTATCACATCTGCATCAGTCGCCAAACCAAAATAATCATTGTGGTTCCCAGTAAATGCTACCTTCAAGCCACGATGAGTATACATCATTGATGTCACACCATCCAATTTGTACTCGTCCAGCCTCTTCAAGTGGGGTTCAGATCCTGTAGTGACATATTGTCGAACAGTTTGAGAGCATTGCGCTGGATCGGCTTTGACAATAGAATTCTGACTAGAAATTTTCACACCTGTAATAAAAATACTCCGAATACCACATCTAGTAGCATTGCCATACACTCCCACGTCATTTATATTTATTTCAGGAATGCTAAAGGCAAGAAGATCATGACATACCGTGAGAAAGGAAGCCTCTGATATGAAAATATCATTGTGTTCATCTTCATCATTAACACATTGAGGCGGGTATGGATCATTTATGCAGATATCCTCAACACTGGAGTCGGAACAAGCGGCAAAACTGGAATATGGTCATGAGAGATCGAGCTTAACACCTGGAGCAAAATCGCGAGAGCAGAGTGGGTGCTCAGTCTGAGCGAGCGGCAACAGAGGAGTGGTAGTGGTATTATTTTGGCCTGTTGTTGCCTCCGTTGCAATATTTTCACCCACATTCATCTGACCAGTTAAGGCCTGGATAGAATCATTTGTAGAGTGACTTGTTTGAACAGGTAAGGAATGTTGCGCCGAAGATGCCAATGCATGAGCATGCTCACTAGATTTTTTAGCTTCTGAGATATTGACTTGAGAGGTGAGCTGAGAAGGTTGAAATGAAACAGCTTTGACTGAGCTAGGCTGTTCAAAAATAGCACGGTCAACTTGTTTGGATTCAGAGGATTCCATTTGCAGCTTAGTGCTCTCGCCCTCAAGAGAGAGAAGGATACGCTCAACGGGCAGTTCCAGCTCCCTACTACTATTCATTTTCTGAGTTACCTGGTTAGCAGCATCCTCGATTTTTGATGTTGGAGCTAATTCATCCTTTCCATTTGATAAATTCAGAATAGCAGTCCCAATTCTAGTATCATACTGAGCGGGTGGCAACGACAGAGATCTAGGAGGGTTAGAAGTAGTAGCAACCGGAACTGGCGGTGGAGGACATGTAGGAGACTCGAATGAAGCGAGAAGTGGTCCAGTGAGCTGAGCAGAGGCAGAATCGAAAACAACAGTGGCAGTTGCTTCTTCGGCTACCAGATCCCAATCTAGCAAGAGACAGATGAAGCCACGCACGCGTCGGGTCGGCGAATTGGCGGCAGGGTCCTGGTTGGCTGCTGTCGGCGACGATGGATCGGCTGCAGGTCGTCGGGGTTGGGAGTTTTGGAGACCGGCGGGTTTGGCTTGGGCGCAAGCCTGGATCGAAGAGTGGAGTAGGTCGGCGGTCGGACCGGCGACTGCAAGCGATTGGAGGTCGGAGACGGGAATGCTGTCAAGCGGGTTTGGGGCGTATCCCACTTCCGGAGATGTGTCTATTGGTGAGGAATCGAGCTGGAGCGGATCAAGATCACAGTTCCGTTTGTGAGGCGAAGTATACGGAGTTTGCGAATATAGCAAAGGACGTTGGAACGGAGGAGGATCGCGCCATCGGAGCGGAAGCTCGATGGGCGGATACTCCTACGGCGGATCACGCCATCAGAGAGGGAGTTTGAGCGGAGGGTAGTCATCAACGACGGTGGGAGAATGGCGGAACTGATGGCGTTTGCATGGAGAGGACGAAGAGAGCGAAGAAGAAGAAGAATACCTCGGTATGGTTGCCGACGACATTCGCATCTTCCTTATTGCCTGAAGGTTTCTGTCAATCTGATCGAGGTTTCTGTCTACCTGATCGAGTGATTCCTTCACTTGAGCTTGATAGATGGAGATCCGGCTTCGAGCATCGTCGACAGCCCACCTTCCTTGGCGTCGATCATCGTCGACCGCCAATCTTATTCCACGGCTTCGATTGTCATCGACAGCCGACCTTCTTCCATAGGCCATCGATCTTCACAAGCTCCAGGCTCTGATACCAACTGATGTAGTGGATCGTCGGAAGACTCGACCTGCAAGAAGGATTTTGATCCCAATCCAGGGAAGAAGAAGAACAAAAGCTCTAAGGTTTCAAAGAGTATAATATTTCATTCAATGAGTTCAATCCTTTACATTAGCCAACTATTTAAAGAGTAAAATAGAACTATCTAGAGCATGAAAGGTAAACTAGTCCTTAAGCATAATAAAAGCTAAGATGTTCCTACATCAAGAGTGATCATTTCTGATGGAGTCTTCATTACTAGGGTCTATCAGGTCCACATTCTTTTTATTGGAACCTATAAAATGCCTCTCTTTTTTTTAATAACTATAAGATATCTGTGAAGACATATAAATGGCAGTTTATTTTTTTAATAAAATGAAACTTTAGAGTCTAAGAGTAATAAACTCCTTTTTTTTATCGGGGATTATCGGCCTGCTGCAACGTCAGTTTATGACGCGCTTGACGATGTCCACTAGTCTCCTCGGCTGACCTAGATGAGCAACTCACACCTATTACTACTCGTGGCCCGCACTTACTGGGTCCCCCTAAAGGGGTGCTGCCGCCCGAGGGAATCGATCACGGGTTGGGGGTTCCCAATTGCACTCGCCCACAAACCAAGCTAAGCATGGGTGGCATAAACTCATACTTTGATTGGACAGGTACATTAGATCATCGTTACAAGAGTAATTATGTGCCATTCTACGGACCTTTCTCATTTTCTTGGAAGGCCGATTTCTTTATGTCAACCCGCTAAAGGGCTAGAAAAGCACGAGCCACAGCCGTTTTCTAAATTCATGTTCAGCTCAAGCTCACCATTATTTCTCTTTGGCCAGCTTAAGAAGTCGCCCGAAACTTCTATCTAGGGCACGCAAATTGGATTCCCAGGAAAGAAAGCACGTAGCAGAGAGTTTAACAGGCGGCAGCTATGGCTTTGAATGGCGGAATCCGATCCGGCCTCAAGGTTATGATATCAAATGAATCAGCGTTATCAAAATCAGGCAACCATTCTCTCTGCTTTCATCAACTGCTGCAATTCAGCAATTGCCAATTATCGCTAGTTTCGTTTCCTCTAATCACTCTGAATAAATTTCTGTATTTGGAACTTCTTATGCCTATGCATTTCCGATGGATATTCGATGCCCTGATTAACTACGTTCTTTGATGCAGTTGATCTGTTAGTTTTCAAACTAATATGACTTGTAGCTGTTATGAATGTTGGTTTGATTTGTTCATATTCATGCTGCTGCTACCCGATTAAAAACTGATTGTAGATTTGAGTGATACAAATTTTGTTGGCTGTTTAACTCTCTGAAGAAGTTTTTACTTAAAAAAAAAAAAAATTTGTTGATTATGATTTTTCGGATGTGTCGAGTGAATTAATGTTTTAGCCGGTTTTGTTATTGTTTTCAATTATTTATGTTCGGAATTTCATGGAGTTCTTTCTTGGTCCATAGCCATGTTGTTTCGTCCCACATATTTGCCTTTTAGAATCTTTCGCAGACAGCATTGTTTGTTATTATTAGGGTAAAAGCGTTCGGCCCTATGTTCAAAGCATACTTCATTATGTATGGTTGGCTTTGCTTATGTAATAGGTCATATAGAGGTAAATTATTTGTCACGAAATATGTTTTTTTTTTTGAAGAAATTGGTTGTCTGCATCTATTTTGGATTATGTCGTGGACGTTAAATTGAGCTAGTTTGGGAATTTAGAGAGAGAGAGAGAGAGAGAGAGAGAGAGAGAGAGAGAGAGAGAGAGAGAGAGAGAGCTTGTAAGGCATAAGTTTGAGATTAATATAACTGGGCTGCAAAGGAAGAGGAAACTCTTAAGGCTTTTGGGGGATAAGCTTTTTAGAATAGTTGTCAAGTATTAGAATATACAGTAAATGCAGGCCCAAGCAGGAATGATTGTGTGGAAGGATTCAAAGCTGGTACTATCTACTTGAAATAATTTGGCTATCTAGTGAGCGGAATTTAAGAATATCAGATTTATGTTTCTAATTTATTGCTCTTTTTAACTAATTCCTAATAGTGTAATATTTTAAGCTTACACTATGACTGCTGGATAACTATATTCTTTACCTTGAATGACATATCACCAGACAGTTGAAATGCTTTTTCAACCTTGAATGCTAAAAAATGGCTTAAAAACATTTATCTAGCTTGAAAATGGAAGAGTACAATGAGTTGTATGTTGAAATATGGCCTTGATGCTTGTAGAATTCTTTGAGCTAGATTGTACTTAGCATGAAGTCTTGCCCTGTACCACTACAATCCAAAAATCAAGAAGTCAGTATGTGCTAGGAAGGGTTTTTAACTAACTTGCGAGCTTCAACCAACAAGTTAGAATCATGTATGGAGGCTCAACCCACCTATCTGTATTAGCAAGGTTCACAAACCTATACAATGTGTGGATTTAAAAATGAGAATAATTGTTCTTGAGGACTCTTGTTGGTAGGATGTCAACTTTTGTTATCTGGAGGGTAAAAAGGAACTTGAAACCAAGCAATTTCCTCTAGAGATTTTTCTCTACGAAAAATGATTATAATCTTCTAAATGATTGACTTATGAGCCTATGTATTGGCATGGTGATGGGCTATTTCAGAATACTAAAAGTTAATTAATGTTTATTTAGAGTTTGTGATCTAGATCTTATCCTTCTTATTATCAAAATCAATTCAGAATGATAAAATGTTTGCTTGCTCTTTAGTCAAAAAATCAAAGCATCCTAAGGCCAAGTTGGACTAACTTGGCTAGTTGTTTCAACTGAATGCTTTGTTGAGCATGAAAGATGGCTAGTTATATTAGGACCCTTGAGTGTTGTTTTTCATTGGGAATGATGACAATTGGTTGCCACCCATGGAACAATGGTTAAAATCCTTATGGTTGTGGTTGGGGGTAGCTTCTTCTATTGGAAGTTTTGAAAAGGTAATTCTTGTTTAGATTTGATGAATATGGACTCGTCTCGTTAAGAACAATCCAAATTAAATGGAATGTCATCAGTGGAGCATAGTGCTTCCTAAAGTTAAAGAAGTCCATTATATTTTGAATTTTCCTAATTGGTATAAAGCTCGTTTGTGAAAATTGAGGCCACTCGCATATTTCTTGTAGTTTAAGGGGATAGGAGCATCGCACATTGCACATCAATAGTGGTGTTAGCACATGCATTGCTGGGGACTCCCATGTGAGGAAGATATAATTTTCTAATTGTGTGGTTTTGATAGATTGATTTATCACGAGCTAGTTTTGGACAATTTTGATTAATTCTAGTCCATTTGAATTTTAGTTTGACTAGTTCAAGTGTACATGATTTCCCTTTGACTTCTATTAGCATATGTTGGAGTTCATTTAGCCTGTATGAGGTGATTTGGTGTTGGTTCAACCAAATCAATCTCATTCAAAATTTTTCCATGTTTTGCATTTAAAATGGTGTATGCTTAGATAAATTTTATGAATCCAGTAGTAGTTTTAGGCTGAGTAGTAAGATTAGATGAATAAAAGAGAGAATTTAATAAAGATGTATTTAGTGAGTGCTCACCTTGATAATGATGCTGATGATCCTCTCATGTCAGTTGAGCCATTCTTCAAAAAGCATTAAATCAACATTCTCTATTGCAAGATTACTACTTAGGAATTTTAACGCAATTTATTTAAGGAAAACATGGCTTCCTTTAAAGCTGGAGTTTCCAATAATCTTGATACCAAGGAATCTTCTTTCTATAGGATATCAAAAGCTTCCTTCTCCAATAATCTTGATACCAAGGAATCTTCTTTATATAGGATATCAAGAGCTTCCTTCAACCCCTCGATTATGTAAAATGCATCACCAAAGTACCCTATTATGAATCAAATACTTGAACATTAACAATCTCTCTTATCAAAAAAAAAAAAAAAAAGATTACTCAACTTGCCAACAATTAAAAGAACTTGAACCGGAAGCTTCTTGTGCTGTCCTAAACGATCTGCTATCTCATACAGTCCATAATCCTTCTAAGTTCTTCCTTCCGCACTTTCTTAACATCATTATTCTTATTATCTGGATCTTTAAATTCAAATTTTTTACAATTCGGACTAGATTTTCTAAGCAAATAAATAAGGGGTTTATTGATGCCAAATCAAAAAGTGTTTTTTATTAGAAGATGATATTCAACATAGATGGTTGAGATATTTTGATAAGCTTTTCAATGAAGATTGTGAGAATACAATTGACTTTAGTGGCCTTAGCACCTAAAATTAAATAATTTTTTTTTATAATCGATTAAAATTAGAGACTTTGAAGAAAATGATGTGTGAAAAAATAGTTGGAATCGATGATATTCCAATAATGATGATTCAAATGAAGATGACAGTGTTGATGACTTATGAGTTCTTATGTGATATGTCATTGATATTTATTTTTGGAAATTTAAATTATAGGTTAATGAAAAGAATACTGGGATTTGGGAAAGATAGAATTTTGAGTTGAACTATATTTCATATTGTCATATTATTGAGATATTTTGATTTCACTTAATATCTTATGCTTTTTTAGGTTTTATATTATTCACTCATTAGTATATAAAAAATTTATCATTTTATGTTTACGCAATCTTTTGATTTTGAGGCTTACGCCTCAAAACGCCTTGAGGCTTACGCCTCGCCTCACGAATGAAAAACACCTCCTTATTCTCTCTTATAGATCCTCCAATTTGGATTCATACCATGTAGGTCTACTATAGATGCTATTCATTTATTGAGAGGTTTGATGGTTAAGTATAGAGAGAATAAGGAGGATCTATATATATGATATTTATTGATTTAGAGAAAGCATACGATAAAGTTTGGAATCAAGATAACTCTATACAATTCATTCCACAAAACTTTGCCTCTCATTCCAAGCTGCACAAATTAATGAGAGAATAATCCAATAAATATTCTCTTAGATATTTCACTTTTAATTATAAAATAAATGTTATGAGTATTTAAATAAATATTTTTCTTGCCCAATAGATTATCTTGGGTGAATAGGATTTTTCTTCTTTATTTTAAGGCTAGATTTTTATTTATTTTCTCTAATTTCTTATTTCTTTATATATAAATTTCATGGCCATAAATATAGCTTGTAATTAGGTTTTGAAAACCAGTTGAATATCAAATCACTTCACTTGGCACAAGTTCCTCTTGTATTATATCATACTCTCACTCAATATTTTTTTAGCTTTTTATCCTAGGAAGAGTGAAAGGCATGAACTTTCTCCATCTTTTCCCCATTTTTGCATGCATCAGTTCTTTGAAGAATATTAATTTTATAGACTAATAATAGTGACTGCGAACTGCACCATCTGGGGAGAAAACCAATCAGGTGCTAACATCTGGGGATAAAACCAAGCCATTCAGCTTTCAATTGGCAATCACTATTATTATATACTCATAAATATCTTCACAGGCATTTAGTATGTAATTATAGAGCTATGAAGAGGACATTCGCACTCAAGAGGGGGTCCTTTGAAGCACTCGCCTAAGACTATCAGAGAGACTTGACTAAGGAGATCAATAGACTCTACTCGCCTAAGCTCACCAAATAGCTTGCCCTGCATGGGGTGAATCAGAGACCCCTTGTCAAGCAAATAGATCGCCACTCGCCGCTACCTCAATCACTAGCTCTTTCTCAGAGCTTTCATCTTCGAGCTCGCCAATCTTATTTGTTAGAAAGTGCTTTAAAGGAGACTCTTCACACATTCAACTATTACTTCTTTGCCAAAAGCTCTACATTCCCACCATGTCTTCCTCGCCTCTCTCTTCAAGGTAGCCTGTAAGACTCCACACAAGTCTTCAGCCATGATTGACCACCTGCCATTCGCTGGTTCCTATATCCTGGGGCTCACTCATAGATTCATCCAAACCTACTCATTGCCATTGAGCTTGCTCGAAGGGAGTGTTTAACTATTTGAAAAGAAATACAAAATTGCAACAGATGTAGGGTGAGTCTACTTGTCACCATTAAGCATCCTGCATACGGGCC